TGCAACGTTTCTTACTTTGAACAGAGAAGGGATCTTATTGTCTGAGGGCTGGTGGAATTAGGGGGATAGGGGATAATTTCAAAAATGCTGTTTGAAATCATAGTTTGGGACACTCCTCGCTTTGCCTTCACTTTCTAGAGCATTTCTGAGCAAACTGAGTACTTCTCCCCCATTTCTGCTGCTGCTTTCAATAGCTCAGGAAGCTAGCACTCTTTCCTTGCAAGGGAGGGATGTAGGACTGACTCAGTTTCTTTACAGGACACTGAGAATGAAGATGCTCTGTAGATGATGATTAGTAATGTAAGGCTGTCCTCTTCCTGGCAAAGCCATTGGCACTGAGTCTGCTAGGAGTGAAGCAGCACTGCAGTGCAGGCAGAGCTCCCATTCCCTTCTTCCTTCCCCACCATCATGTGCTCCTCAACAAATTTTCCACTGTTTACTTAGAAATCCGTAAAAGAAAAGACTGAGGCTGAAGAAGCTCCACCTGGGGAAGTCAAGGTGGATGAAACCCCTGCTGCTGCTGCTGTGGGAAAGGAGGCCCTCATCCCTGCTGAGCCAGATGAGCCAACAGAGCAGGCTGCGCTGAGTGATCTGTCCCCCATCTCCCAGCCTCATCTGGGCCGTCTCTCATCACAGTGAGTGTGCCTGCTGTATTTCAGCCATCCCCTCCGTTCCTCATCATGGCTGGTTTTGTCAGCGTCCAGCTGTGTCACAGCATGCCTCTCCAGCAAAATTTGCTCCTGTTGGTCCCAAAATGTCATTCCTTTTAAGACTGGCATTTTAGCTGGAAGTTCACCTGCATGGTCTTACAGGCAGTCAGAGATCAGTGCAGAGCATCAACAAAAGGTTTTCAGGTATGCAGATACTCTAGCCTTGCATGGATCTTTCTGTGGAGCTGATTGTGTTTCACATTGCTACTGGGGGCAATGGCTCAGGCACTGCAAGCCTGATTGTGACATTTATTAACATAGGGGAACAGCATTAGGAAAGCGTACAAACAGAAGTGAAGAGTGGCTTGGAAATAGTCTGAAGCTCTACTCAACCAGTGTCAGGTTGGTTGTGTGCTGGTGGTGTTGGACCACTGCAGAAGCCACTCATGATACCACGCAAACTGTGTGCAGCAGAAGGCTCTGGAGTACAGCTGTAGTTTAAAGGACTTCTCAAGGACAGAGAGATGATTTTGCCTGGATAGTTGCAACTGCGTCACTGGATTAAAAACTGTATCAAATGTGCATGAAATGAAAAGGCAGGCTGAGCTTTAGTTGCAGCATGTGCCTGGTTATCATCTCTCCCTTGCTCCTATCTTCCTAACAGGGTAAAAAGAATTTGTTGTAGATGGAAATGGGGACAGTTTTCTGCGTGCTGTTCTGGAGAACTTTGAGAGAGAGGGAGGATGATCCCTGTCTAATCCTTCCTATTTGCTCTGGATTCCTACCTGTGAGAGCAGCATCGTAACGGTAGAAGACAAAGCTCCAAAACCTTCATTACCTGAGTGCTAATTAGATGGCAGGCTGGGGTGCAGCACCACTCATCCGTTCACTGGCCCTGTCCTGTGACCTGTTTTGCTGCCTCACCATCACTGAGGCATTCTCAGTCCGTGTTCTTTCATGCTCCAAATGGCTGCAGAGCTGTTGGAGAGGAAGACAGTGAGAGAGGGGCAAGTGAGTGGCAATCCAGGAGGAAGTCATAGGTATTAAATAGAAGTCAGACAGTCCTGACTGGATTTATTTTCATTTTCTGTTACCTTTAGAATACAAAGTTGTCTTTACCAATTTGGAAGAGATGTCTAGGAAATGAGCTCCGTGTTGATGTCTTAAAATTCAGAAGTAGAATTATTCATTTGGCTCTGAGGGGCAATGATTCCAGGAATTGCTTTCCAGGACTTGTGAAGGAGAGTCTTGAACATCAGGATTAACAGCAACCGTGATCAAAGCTGAGGACATTTCACTGAGATGCAGAATATGAAAGCATGTCATTTCTCAGTAGCAGCTCAGCGTTCATTCACTTGAGTGATGAGTTATTTAAAAGTGGAGTGATAAAATATTAATAATATCTTTCTGATAGGAATCTTTTATTGATTTTAGTAATTGCAAGTTTGCGGTGACAGCCCCTCATGAGCACAATTTCTCTGTGATGAATTTACTGCCAAGCCACGTTAATTGGTAGAATGTATGGCAGTGATTAGTTGTTGCAAGAGCTTTGAGTAAATTTTCTGGTAGGGCTCTCATTTAAACTAGGAGGGGTAGTGCAGAGAACAGGGTACAATTCCCTGCTCAGGAGTTTTGGGTTCTGTTACTTACAGTTTCATAATCAGCCTGAAGTGCATTGCCAACACTTCATTCCAGAGCTCATCTTAATTGCTGCATGGGATCTTACTGCATGTCCTTGTTGTGATCCCATCGGTGCCACAGAACAAATAAATTTCTGTTAGGTGCTGGCGACCTTTGAATTCTTATTTGGTTGCAGGGAACAAAAATTTTTCACAGTTACAGGGACAGAATCACCACGTACTGCAGAAGAGCTGAAGCGAATGGTAAGAAGTCCTTCTTGCGTGGACTTTTGCCCACAGAAACTGTTTTGTTTCTTCTTTCCGTAGTGTGTAAAATCCAAAGGATACAGTCTAAAATATATAGTTTATTAACCACTGATTGATTTCAGTTTCAAATAATAATATCCCTCTCACCACATCAATTTTTCAAAGTCAGGCAAAGATGACAAGTGTACAGGACAAAGAGAAATCGTAGCAAGTCTTGTTATTTTGTTGTCCTATCTGTGAAATGCTGCACACAGAGTTCACAGCACTACTCAGAGATCAGCTATTTTGACTTCCAGATGCTCCTTGGTTTGGAAAGAGCCTTTTTGTGCTTTGGGTCTGATGCTTGCCTGGCCTTTAATATTCTCTCATTCCATCAGTCAGACACTCAGCTAAACACAGTGATTTTCAAAGCTTTGTGTGGGCACATATGAAACTGCCAGCTGGAAGCTCTCTCAGACACTGAGCAGTGACAGAGGCCAAGAAAGAGCCTTCAGCTTAGAGATGTCTAATGATGGCTGAATCCCACTGTAGGTACAACTCGTGGCACCCAAACTGCAGGCTGTATGATCTGGGAGAGCAGTGCAAAGAAGAGTGGTCAGCTGTGTCTGAAAGCTGAGCGTGGAGCCAAGTACAGATAGAGCCATGTATGAGGCCATTTAAAGGTAAAACATTTCTTTCAAAAATGGGGGAAGAACTGATGTAGAACAGTGTTCTTCTGTTCTAAGTCAGCAGAGGCAGATTGCACTCTGTTTATGGAACTGCAGCATTACTTAGGCACTGTTTCAGTAATCCTATTTACTAGACGTTTACGCCTGGCGTGGCATAAAAATAAACATTGCACTGCCGTGCTTCCCTGCTAAAACTCAGTCATCCTTACCATCCCGACTCCTAACTAATCAAAAGATCAGTGCTGCTAACTTTACCAGTACAAAATAGTCCTTAAGAAGTAAGGGCAACTCTCCTTACCTTTCTCTTTCCCAAAAATCTGCTTCCAGTTATGCTTGAAACGAGCCCTCATTTAAAAGCATATGTATGAACGCATCAAATTTTGAATGAGGCCCAAGCTGTAAGCTTGGTTGATGGAATTCTTATGGGAAAGAGTTTCCAGGTTTTACTGATAGGAGAAGGGTAGGGACAAACACATTCCTGACATAGAGCAGTGCTCATTTCTGAAGGCAAATTGGCTTCTAAGTACAGCTTATTAAGAAATTCAGCACTTTTTAATAGTACAAGTCAGAAAAGTGTTTCTGTACCAACTTGCCATTGCCATCAGACGCATGGCTTTTGTGAGGCAATGGAAATATTTGTTTACCTCTCCTGTTTAAAAAAATAAATAAATAAAAATTAACATGCTGTAGCAAGCATGCATGCTTTGCTGGAGTAAGAAATAATTATATTTTGCAGTTGAAGCTTGTGGATTTTTTTTTCTTTTTAAAACCCTATACAGTCTGTTTTAAAATTAATGTAAAAATCAGGTCTTCGCAGCATGGTTTGGCAGCTTGAAAGAAGAATTAATCCTGTATGTATAATAGAAAAGGTGATGTCACACTGCAGTTTTAGCAGGATAAAGCTGTGAGGGGTTTGCATGGTAACGCTGCTGTCAGCAGCTGCCTTGCCCTGGCGTCTGGACAGGTCTGGGTCTTATGAGGTGACTGCAGGAAGATGAGCTTAGAAAACACATGAGTGAAGTGAAGTTTGGATATAACGCAGCATCCTTTTATTAAACAAGATAACATGCAAGCATTTCAGATGAAACGTGCAGGAGTTTTGGTGTGGCAGGTGTGTGGAGGCAGTGAGCTGGAGGCTGAGCACTGAGGTCTGATCACAAGTGCTAAAGATGGTGATCTGCTCTGCCTGCACTCACACAGATCAGCATGACTTGTCTTCACCCTTACAGGGCTTTTGAAAAATCTGACATATGTATGTTTGCTGAGCAGCCTCAACATTTATTAGTGAAAGAGATTTCTATAAGGGGGCTTAGATTTACTTTTCCTCTGAAAAGCATCTTTAGAAATATCCTGTAATCTGCGGGAAGCCAAGACTGAGCAGAAGAGAAAAGCACTTCCAAGTGTTCAAATGAGACATGAACTACAGCCATCTTGACTGTTTGTTGACCTAATCTGGACCTGAACCTCTTGATCCAGGCTGAGCAATAGCCAAAACTGAATCCATGCTCAATCAGAAGGGATGTTGCTGAATCCCAAAATGCTACAGTGGAATTGGAAACCAGCAGGAGCACAACTGTCCCACAGAGTTTAGGAAATTGTACGTTTTTTCCTCTTCCAAACCTGGAACTTGTGCAGTTTTACAGCTTGTGTAGTAAAGGACCTTGTGTTAGATACCTTCTGTGCTGTGAGAAGTATTGTTTGGGTGGGAGCATCACTGTTGAGAGCAATTGATTCCTTGGACATCTTCATGGGTGCCACATTTAGAGCCACTGACACACGTCTGCTGTTTGAAATGTCAGACACCCACTGCATGTACAGCTGAGTGTGGACCTGGAGGAAAGTTGATTCTGCAGCACTGATGAGCTTTGTGACCCACCTCTTTGAACAATCCCCTGCCGTGTGTTTCAGCCCAACGCGTGTGGAAGAAGTGTTCCAGGAAGTTTTCCTGCAAACTGGTGAGTTACAGGGCAGCAGCAGGTTATGATGGGAACATTCTGAGTCTTGGGTGGGAGAAATTGGAGGTAGCTGGAAAACTGTAAGGTCAGCAATGTTCTGGGCTGTTGCTTAATAAAAACATTCATCCAGTATGGTGCTACTATGAAATACTGATAGCAAAAGTACATAAAATTGACATTAGCACTTCCAGTGTGGTGATCATTATGTAATTAACAGGCTTTATTTCTCGTGGTTTTTTGCTTGTGTTCTTGTTTTGTTCTGTTTTTATCTTATAGCTACCTTTATTTCAGATATATAGCAGCAAGAATCTTTCCACTCCCTGTATGCTGTCCCGTTAGTTCCCACCATTCATTTCATCGCATCCCATACGTGCCATTCTTCCACTGAGCTTGATTAATGCCAGTTTCTCTGCAGTCATTCCCTCAGCATGAGTAAGATGGTGACCAAATTTCCTCTTTATACAGGAGAGTATCGGGGCAGGGGATAAGGAGACAACTGGAATTGCTGAGAAAGAGAGCGAGGTACGTATGAGCAGCCTCAGGAATGTGGTTGTGCTTTAATATCTTCAAGAGGAGTGTGGCAAAAATATATGTATGTCATCTGCATGTAATCAGTGTGCAGAGAATACAATATGACTGTGACCCAGCTGTGGTACCAGAACATTTCTCATTCAATGCAAGACCTACCTTAGAAACTGCCTGTTGCAGCAGTACAGACTGAAAATATTTTGGGGCAGAAAACAATCAGATCCATGAACAGAAAGTGGCATAATGCTGTTTCTGTTGACATTTGTGGTAAAGAGAGAATATGCTGCATAGATTCACAGTAGCTTTTACATTTCCTTGAATTTGTTTGTCTAGCCTTCCTCTAAACAGCTTTAAAAAGGAAATGGAATTTTGATTCATCATTTGTTTTTCCTTGCACAGCTGAAATAATCATGCCAAAAGTTCATTTTCTAAAATACAAATGTTGGCACTGAATGAGGTAAATTACAAAGCAACTGAAAAAACTCGGGACATACTTTAATTTCTCTTTAGGTGGGCATGTTGAGGTAGATCAAACCCAGTTTCTATAGCTACAGGTGCTGATGCGCTGCAAATGAGTTGCACTGCTTGTCTAGCATTGTCTTATCACTGCCAAGTCTCGGGCCAAGAAATGCCTTGCTCTGCCCTGAGCACAAAGGCTAAGCTTTGAAATGCATCTTTCCTCTGTTCCAAACTAGGTGCCCTTGTAAAGTAACTTCTATCTGGTCAGCTAAACCTGCTTAGAGGAGCAGTATTACTGAATGCAGAAGAGATGCTGTCAGGGATCAGGCTGTTTGCTAAGCTGATATCCTGGCTCCAGTGGAGGACTGTCCTGAGGCAACTTTCATAACCAGTTCTGCAGTATTACTCCAAAAGCCTTCCAAGACTTTGCAAGCAGTTGGTGTGCTCACTAAAGCATGATAATTAGTTCTTGATCTTATATGAGACGACTGAGCTGTAATATGACTAACTGTCCTAAAAATTACCCAGTCCTTTTCTAAATCAAGCCGTGGAGCCAGATCTTCAGCTCTGGAAAATGGGGAGAGCACGGACAGTGAGCTCCTCCCAGGCCCCCAGCTGCAGACTCGGCTGCTCTCCTCCTCTTCATGGCCTCATTCTTGCTGCTGCTGAATCTGAGCACTGCACTGAGCTGACAGTTCTATGAGGATAATGCAGCCAGCTGCAGCCTGGGTAAAGAAGCATTCACTGTTTCTGCAACTCAAAGCCATGTGGCTCTGTTATCACAGCCTTCATTACATTGGATGGCCCTTGTTTTTTCTCCTGTGTGGCTGTGCAGATTTCAGTAACCCTTCTGCAGATAGCTGGTTTAGGATACTCTTAGTCTGTGTATTGTTATCAGGTTTGTAGTGTTGGTTCTCAAAACGAAGTACGTGGCCCATTGCAGCTGGGTGTGGGATTCTTGTTCTGATTTCAGTGGAATTGAGTCTCCCTCTTTTTAGTTTAGTTTAGTTTTTTTCTTTATCAAAGGCATTTGATACTAATAGTGAGATTCATTCAGCACTAGCACACATGCTTTGTAAAAGCCATTTTTTAATTATCTATCTTGCTTTGGTTCTGTATTCTAAGGCACGGGAAATACCCAGTTCTGCATATGTGAACGTGCTGTGCATTCAGTGAGTTACAGCTACAGCTGTTGAGAGCATCACCCTTTCAGTGCTGACTGTTTGCGAGCTGACTCATGTCAATTAAAATTCTCCTCCACCGTAGAAGAAAATTGGCTGTACCAAATGCAGTAAATAGAAAATAAACGTTGATCCTAATCACAACAGGCAGCAGGATCAGTGTGTGCAGCATGCTGTTAGAAGCACATGTGATGAAATCAATCTGATAGGCCATTCTGTTCCCCTCCTTTCATACTGGTCTCTTCCAAGGCTTTTACAACCACCATTTATTTGAATACTAGCCTGGGTCAAGACTGCTAAATTGGTAATACTCTGTGAGACAGGTTTGCGTGCCTTACAAGTCACAGGAGAAGATGTCAACATCTGTCCATATCTTTTGATAATACTTCTGTTTGTGGCAGAGCATCCTTCCCTAGCAGAATTTTCAGTTGAAGCTAAAACTTCTCCAGTGGTTTCTGCAAAGCACTGGAGTATTCCTGCTTTCAAGGACTGCAGAAGAATTTATTTACCACATCAGTTAATGTCAGCCAGTAGGGGTGGATAGAGCTGAACAACAGTGACTGAAGAATGATTGTGAACAAATGCAGGCAGTTCAGGTTGAGCTCAGAGAGCTGCATTGGTCTCATTCATGGGTGGAAAATCAAACTGAGGAAACAGAGCATCAGGCTGTGAACTGAATTTCTGCTGAACTTAGCTTGACGCTGGTACCTAGAAAACAGCTTTTCTTTAGTGCTAAAAACTTCCTGAAGTTAATTGAATTGACAGAATGTGTTTTTTTATTTACCTTCACCATCAAGATGAATCTCCAATAAACTTAATTCAAGTGTATTACTGTAAATAAATACCAGTGTGTACCAACACAAATGTTGGGGTGATACATAAATTACCTATGCTGGAGGAAGGATTTAACAATGGCCTTCAGGAAGGTACTTTTCTATCCACCTTTCAATAACTGAAATGAAATGCATGCTGACTTTTCAACACAGACTAATGACGAATGATTCAGTCATATAAAATCTACTTGGGTCTTTATTTATGTTTCTTTCTTTTTTAAAATCAGCCTAGCTATAGGCTAACATTTTCTGATACCTGATGATATCTGAATATTTCTAACCTTCATCTAGCTGTAGAGTATATTTGCTTCAGCTAACATAGCCCAAGTTGCACATCTCTGTTCAAAAGGAGTCTAACTAATGCTCTTGAAGTCAGTCCAGGTCTAGAGATGGCAGACAGCAGCTGGAGCAGGCCTTGCAGCCTGTTCCCTAGAGCAGACTTTCAGAGTAGCACAGGGGACCTCCGGGCAGTTTCCCCCCCCCCCCCCCCCCCCCCCCCCCCCCCCCCCCCCCCCCCCCCCACCCCCCCCCCCCTCCCCCCCCCCCCCCCCCCCCCCCCCCCCCCCCCCCCCCCCCCCCCCCCCCCCCACCCCCCCCCCCCCCCCCCCCCCCCCCCCCCCCCCCCCCCCCCACCCCCCCCCCCCCCCCCCCCCCCCCCCCCCCCCCCCCCCCCCCCCCCCCCCCCCCCCCCCCCCCCCCCCCCCCCCCCCCCACCCACCCCCTCCCCCCCCCCCCCCACCCCCCCCCCCCCCCCCCCCACCCCCCCCCCCCCCCCCCCCCCCCCCACCCCCCCCCCCCCCCCCCCCCCCCCCCCCCACCCCCCCCCCCCCCCCCCCCCCCCTCCCCCCCCCCCCCCCCCCCCCCCCCCCCCCCCCCCCCCCCCCCCCCCCCCCCCCCCCCCACCCCCCCCCCCCCCCCCCCCCCCCCCCCCCCCCCCCCCCCCCCCCCCCCCCCCCCCCCCCCCCCCCCACCCCCCCCCCCCCCCCCCCCCCCCCCCCCCCCCCCCCCCCCCCCCCCCCCCCCCTCCCCCCCACCCCCCCCCCCCACCCACCCCCACCCCCCCCCCCCCCCCCCCCCCCCCCCCCCCCCCCCCCCCCCCCCCCCCCCCCCCCCCCCCCCCCCCCCCCCACCCCCCTCCCCCCCCCCCCCCCCCCCCCCCCCCCCCCCCCCCCCCCCCCCCCCCCCCCCCCCCCCCCCCACCCCCCCCCCCCCCCCCCCCCCCCCCCCCCCCCCCCCCCCCCCCCCACCCCCCCCCCTCCCCCACCCCCCCCCCCCCCCCCCCCCCCCCCCCCCCCCCACCCCCCCCCCCCCCCCCCCCCCCCCCCCCCCCCCCCCCCCCCCCCCCCCCCCCCCCCCCCCCCCCCCCCCCCCCCCCCCCCCCCACCCCCCCCCCCCCCCCCACCCCCCCCCCCCCCCCCCCCCTCCCCCCCCCCCCCCCCCCCCCCCCCCCCCCCCCCCCCCCCCCACCCCCTCCCCCCCCCCCCCACCCCCCCCCCCCCCCCCCCCCCCCCCCCCCCCCCCCCCCCCCCCCCCCCCCCCCCCCCCCCCCCCCCCCCCCCCCCACCCCCCCCCCCCCCCCCCCCCCCCCCCCCCCCCCCCCCCAAGCTTCAACTCACCTTGAACCTGCAGGGCATTTCTCACACCACACAGCTTGGAGGCAAATCAGCCCTGAGAATGCAGTCCCATGAGTGTTTCAGAGAGCAGTGGAAGGAGGTTGTTGTATAGGTGTGAGAAGAAGAGGCAGTGAGAACACATGAGCCTTGAGAAATGTTTCCTACACTAGCAATACCCATCTGAAACTCTACTGCATGTTGACAGGAAGGTTTTGTAAATGTCCCTCTCCTGCCTGTAAATCAGCTTTGTCATGTAAGCCTACCCCTGTGCTCCCTACATGGTGCTTCAGATATAGGATGGCAGCCTCCAGTGCTGCTTTCTTCCTTGGGTCAGGAGAAACCCCAGTGAAACCAAAGCCAGGGGCGGCAGCACCTAAGGAGATCGCAGAGTGCAGGATATCTCCAGCTGATATGCACAGCTCATGTCCTGAAAGGTTTCTCCTTTTATCTTGCAGGTGGTGAGTGCTGCAGATGGGCCACTGGAGTGGAAGACAGTGTGGGTGGTGGGATCAGGAGCTGGTGAGGGTGCTGCTCCCACGGAACAGGAGGCTGCTGCTGGAGATGACAAACCTCAGGGAGAAGAAAAGGAGATCGATGTTTCCCAGGTACCTCATGTTGTTGTGTGGGGAGCATTAGAGGAATCCAGCCAGATCCAGCAGCTCCAGCACAGGCGAGGCTGATGCAGCTCCATGCCCCAGGGTCCAACAAGCAGTGAGGATGAGCATGTATTCTCAGTCAGTGCACACACAGAGCACACAGACATATTTGTACACACACAGACAGCCATGGGAATCAAAGGCAGGCACACGGGGTGCTCACACAAACACAAGCATTACCAGAGGCCTCATCGCGTTCACCTCTGGCTGAGTAGGTAGAGCTCTACTAGTGGGAATACATGGATTTGTATGTACATGCTGTTGTCACTCAAGTCCACTCACCTGAGTGTCTCCAGTGGCTGGCACCTGGATCTCTCCTGCAGCTGGCAGATGGGCACACAGGCCTTCCAATCCACGGTCTGAGCCTAATGCACACACGAGCAAGAATAACAGACAGCCCTCACCCTGGAGAGGAGTTAGCCAGCAACTTGATGAGAAGATAGGACAGACCACACTCATCAGGTGCAGGACGTGGCCAGATAACATCTGAACTGTCCATGCTTACGTGCAAGCAGTCCATTTCTGCTGTTACCTGTGCCTTTGTTGTCCCACACTTGTTCCTCCCCAGATCGCCTCAACCCACCCACTGCTTTTGGTTTCTCCCTTAAACATCCCATAGTAAGTCTTGTACAGTAATATGTCCATGGCTCTTGGCAACAACCTCCCTCAGTCCTGAAGGTGCTCTGCTGTGTGATGGATTTCACACAGACACTGGGACAGCCCTGAAAGAGGTCCAGGTCACTTCTGCTTTTCACCTTGTGTTCCTCTAAGCTCTTAGAACTTTTACTTTTCTGCACAATTATTGTTCTCTATCTTGAGGTAAGAATCCCACCTGCAGCAGAAGTAAAGAAACATGTTTTTCAACTTGAAATAAAGCAGGAAATACTCTTGTGGTGCTTTTGTTGTATTTTATTTCTTTTCTAGGAAAGAAATGAAATTACTACCCTTCGGTAGTAATGGAGCCAGCATCGAACAACGCAGGGGAAGGAGAAGAACATGGTGTCATGATGAATGAGTCCGAAGATGCTGCAGCAGAGATGGGCACTCAGGCACTGACGGTGAAACTTGCCAAGTTGGAAGTGAGCAGGAACCAACTGAAGAAATGCAGACCTTCTCAAGATCAGCCTGCGTCAGCAGGAGGCACAGCTTCTGACATGCCACTGGGCTTTCTCTTTAAGGTCTGCCGGTTTGTTGTTCTTTTAGACATCTTTTCACATCTAGCTTCTGTGGATGTGTCTGAAAATTGAGTCATTATGATGGTTTACTGAGGCCAAAGGATGCCTGGTTTCACAGCCACATGCTTGCATGCACATGCACTCACCCAGCCTTTGGTTGTTTCATCTCCATACGTGAATTTTGAGAAACATTTTCTGCACTTGGATTTTGTTGGTTATATCCCTCTGTAGCTGTAAGAATCATTAGAGGTCTCCTTTCATCTTGCCAAATCAGTACTGACAGTGAATCTTTTAAGTAAAATTCCACTGCCAGGGATTTAGTCAGCAGTACCATAGGATCGTTTGCTAACAGTACCAAAAAGGCGTTTTTCTGGCCTGAGAATTTGTAGAGGAAGTTCCAGCCCTATTGAAATCTGTGGGACTTGAACAATTCACTGTAATGAAGTTGAAGTGTCCTTTCATGTCCTTAGTATTGCTGTTCCTACGAACTGTTAGGGTATTCAGACAGAAGAGCTTAATGAAGCTGCAGGGAAATCCTCTCCTTGGCTGGTAAGAGCCACAGAGATTCCTGGTTCACAAGGTTCCTTCACTTCAGAATCAGTGAGCAGGAGAAACGCTCCTTGAGGCTAGATGAACTTTATGTGCTTCCTGCTATCGTTTGCATACTTCAGACTAGTTAGTCCCATAGCACTCCATAAATATGCCATTCCTTCTGATCCAAGGTCACTGGTCAAGATTTTCAGCAAACAGTGAGAATGGCATTAAGGTTAGAGTGACCGGTATTGTGCAGTTTTGGTGCAGACCTGCTCATCTGTTGTTCATCTTTTGTTTTTTGTCACGCTTCCTTGAGTCAAACGTAAGTAAGGAGCAGCAGAATACGTGACTGCCATCTGGTTCTCGATGCTGTATTGTTTCATTATTGCAGTGACCACGGAACTGTCTGTGCTTTGAGAAAACTAGGATAGTGCCTCTCTTCAGGAGGAAGAGCTATTTAGTTACAATGGTCTGTTCAGGACAGTGTGCTAACCCCACAAATGTTTTAATGATCACCTCTTTGACAGAGAGATGTTTTTGGCATTCCTATCTGCCAGTGAATGGGAGTTCTTTCCAGGACAAACAGGAGCTGTGGTTCCCATTACTCACTTGTTTTGTCTTGTACTGAAACTGGTGCTGTACCTCTCCCTCTAATTTCCAGGGATGTTTCCATCAATCACAGTATCCAGCAGACAGCATAAGGAAGGGTCTGAAGTGACCCTTACTTTGGAGACCCTTACCTTGGAGATTCTTCTCCAAGCTTATTGGCAAAATCCTGCCATCCCTCTCCTCAGGTCTAGGCATGATAGTGGGAAATGAAGGCAAGTTCCTTGCACGGTAGGAATAATGTAACAGGACTTGTCCAAGAGGCAGCACCTGTGGGATTCTGCAACCTTGGGAAAGGAGGTTTGGTTTCTTTCAGTAGTTTCAGGAAGATTTACTGAAGCTGTACCTGTTTTATAAACTGTGATTAGAAACTTTGATGTGGACATGAACAGCTTGAATGTACGTGTCTATGGCCATATATTTCCATAAAGAAAGAAGTGAAAGAGTACATTTTTCTTTTTTCACAGTGTCTCTGTTTTGATCATTTCTGTACATTTGGTATTTCCTTTAGGTTGAAGTTCTGCATGATTTTGAGGCAGCTAACGGTGACCAGCTTAATTTGAATGGAGGGGATATTGCACTAGTAATTCCTTCTGAGACCACAGCTGATCAGGTAACAACAACATGATTACTTATTTCTTTTGCTAATGTTTCCTTTTGTCTCAGTTTCCTTCTCACTCTTTAGAGTTAATTTGAAATGTTGGTTCAAAACATCTTTACTGTTAGAAAACACCAGCATTCTTATTTTGCCCTTGTACTTGGTTTGATTTGTGACCAAGCAGCACAGCTAACTAAGCTGAAGTCCCAGGTATGTACTGCCAGCAGGATCCAACTTCAGTCCATTTTTCTAGGGCACTTTTATGTTGCTTTGTAGTGAATTTTATACAGGCTTACATACAGGCACAGGCTGAATACAGAAGACGGCTTACAAATTGTGCATCCTGCTATCATGTTGTTGTAACACTGGGTCAGAACTGACTGTATTTCCCCACACGTTCAGAGTTTTACATGGAGATCAGGAGAAATATGCATTTGCCCAGAGAGAGCACTGAGACTGCACACCAACAGTTCTGTCCTGCAGCCCAATGGCACAGAGGTGTTCCTGCATGTCCTGTGTGCCTCTTGGGACCTGAGCCTCACAGCTGTGCTCCTGAGCTGCACCAGCAATCGCTTTGTCTTTGGTGCAAGAACCCAACAGTTCAGTGTCATTTAAGATGCTTTATTTTGTTTTAACAGTGTGTTTCAGGTTAATTTTTAAACGATTTGATTCCACACGTTATGTTGATTTGCAGTCAAGTGAATGAATTTTTTACCTCCTCTTTAAGAGCAGCCCATCTTGTACAATTCGTACGAGCCACTTTGTGGCTGCAGTGGCAGAAAGCGTTGATGAAAAGCATCCCATTGAACTGGGGGCTGGGAGGTTGGGCTCTGGACCTGCACAGTGAGACAGCCAGGTCTCTGCTCCGAATGAAGAGCAGTTCTTCAAACATGCCCAAATGCTGTCAGCGCGTGTTTGGAGAGCCAGAGACTGTTTGTTATCTAAGCTGAACTCTCTCTTAATACAAGAGACAAGTAATTGCTTTGGTTTTTGATTCTTTTTTATTGTTGTTTCTGAATAAAAGATTATTTTATTTTCCTTTTCACTGGGACACTTTGTTATTTTGTAGGGACAGATCCTCTTATGCTTACTCAAACTGTGCTGCGTCTCACCTCTTGGGCTGTTCAGCTGAGTTCATTGTCAGTATTTGCAGGATCTACTCTAAGGATATAAAAATAGGCTGTCCTCAGTTATTTTTTCTTATCATGTTTTGTATTAAATCTATATAACTTTCCCTTGGTGAATCCATTGATTGTTTTTCTCTTGTGGTGTGCATCCAAATCCCATTAGCGTTCATTGGAGTGAATCGTGTGCAGTGATGGAGAAAATGAAGCCCCATGTATTCGTGTTGCTGAGATCATTCTGCTCATATCTTTATTACTCAGTGCATATTTGCCCTTTGTGTTTCACATCACCTAGAACTCAATTTTTCTCTCTTACCAGATAATTTGTTGATTTCAGAGAGTATTTGATCTTGGTTCTTTCTTCTCCTGCAAAATTGATCTAAGACCATCATTCTGAGATAGCTGGTGCTGTCAGCCTGTGCTCCCTGTGCAAAGCCAACTCATCCCAGCCAGTGACTCCAACTTTTATCCGTAATTATTGAGTTGAAGTCATCATCCATTACAGCTTCAGTCCTGAGCAGAATCTACTCTGTCCATGGTAGAAAACTTCAGTTCCCCCACCTCAGGTTTTCCAAAAGGTGACTTCAAAAACGTGCTGCCAGTTACTCCATCTCTCTTCATACTTTCTGTAGAATAATAATGAATCAGCATTAGAAATTGCCTGCTAATCATCACTTTACTCTGACTCCTGTTCTTAAAAGGAACAAAGCACAGAGTTAGACATGTGGTGAGGTGAAAATAGGCTGATCACTGCAAAAATACTGCATGGGTTTTATTCCAGGTGAAATGGATAGCACCTAGGAGAACCAGCACTTTCCAGTAAGAAATCTTCCTTTGGATTGATGGATTTGGATTGCAGCATTGCATGCCAAGATCTGGCTTAGGCTGAAGCTTCCAGGAATTTCTGGAAAAGGTTGTTGAGTATCAACTGACTTTTAGTTTCTAGCGATTGTGATGGCAGAGAAAACAAGAACTGTTATTTCTTCTGACTGTCAATACAGGGATGAGAGAAAAGAACTCTCAGAAAAAAATAATCAGATGAAAACATGGATTTTTCCCCCTCATCTGTGGCATTCTATAATGATTCTAGCACACTGCTGTGCTCTTCCTGTGTCAGTATCCCAATATTGCTGTGAGAACTTTGAAAACATCTCCATGTGCATTTGCACAAATGCAGGTTTGCTGTGACGCTGGATGACTCCAGCGGCTGATCATCCAATGTTCAGTTCAGTTGGAGGTTAGGTGGGATAAAGGCCATCTAATGTGCTCACAGTCTCACCAAACCATGGCAGAACAGAGAAAACAGTCTGTGCAAAATCAGAGTATGCTGTGTAACAAATCACCACTGCTTTTAGCCTTTAAAACTTCTCTGGGCCTGGAGTCTGCAGAAAGGAATGGGAGAGAGCTGACCCTGAAGATGCTCTGTCTTTTCTCTTTCAGGAGGCTGCTTGACAGGCATTAAGGAATCTGAGTGGCTTCAGCACAGAGATGCGAATGGTTATAAAGGACTTTTCCCAGAGAACTTCACACGCCATCTGGAACAGTTCTTCTCACAGGCACACGAATGTGGTTTGAAGCTCAGTCAGTGGGTTCTTCACCTTGAAACACAGGAGCCCCCTTTTTTTGTAGTTCAGGCTGTTAATGGTTTACAGATTGGTTGCTTGTTGAAGCGTATCAAAATGAGCATGAGTGCAAGCAGTTAAGCTAGCCATTTCTGAAGCAGTGTGTGAAAAAAAAATCAAATACAAACAGAAATGTCCTCATTTGTTCACATGCACGTGGCAACAGGTTTGTTTGTGCTTTGCCAGAGCTGTGGTGATCCTGTGTTTGGTCCTTTCCCATGAAATCCAAAATTAGCCTCCTTGGTAGCAAAACCTGAACTTGTCTGCACTCAGTGCATCGTATTGAGTTGCACTGCAGAAAACTTAATTAGTAATCCTGTAGTAATGAGGTCAAACTATTACAAGTTTCACTTGTTTAAAAAATATCATTAACTGCTGCAATGTTTTCCAGTGTTACTTGGATGTGTGTCTGCAGGTGCATGTGGGTATGTGTGCATCTCAGCAATGTCATGCAGTGCTGTGGCTGTGCAGTGCCATCAGGGCATGCATTGCTCTCCCACTGTCTGGCATTCCAGACAACAGTTTTGTTCCAAAGCAGAACCAGCTGCTCCATTGCCAAAGCATTGCACAGCGTCCGTGTGAGTGAGGTGAGGTTTTCATTCTGAGATGATGAATGGCATCGTTTTCAAAGCTGCTGAACCTTTGAGAAGGCATGGCTCGGTTTCCTCTTCCGGCTGCAGTAGTTACAGTGAGGTAATCTGGAAGGGGAACTGTTATGATGCTCATCTATACTTTTTTATTTAGTTGGCTGAATAAAAAAAAACACGACAAAGTTAATCTCTGAGAAATAAACATCTTTTCACAATAATATTTATGCAGCGCACCTTACAGATCCTTTTAAATTAAGGTACATAATGTATGCTGTATCAAAAAGTCACCTGTAACTTCTGTTTTCCAGTGCTGTGTCATTAAAAATAAACCTGTGATCCACAGATGTTTCATCTGTGATGCTTTTGAAGTTGTGTTGCAATGAATTTCACGTGGTTCCTGTGTTCTACTGGGGAACCTAACTTTAATTTCATGCCTCTTTTCCCAGAGAAGCACAGCACAGCTGGGGCACCATCTCAACTCTTGCTTTCAACCCCCAGGTTCCAGCAGGTCTGACTCCCAGCTCAGCACATCTCCTGGCTGCGCCTCCTGGAAATGGGCTCTGGCCACCAGCAGCAGCAGGGGAACTTGTCTGTGCCCAGCTGTCACTCAGGCTGCTGCCTCTTATTTGTCTCTTGCTCGTCCATTGATCTTGTGTGAAAATTCTCCATCGCTCTGCTCCGTTCTGTTTGCAAGCAAGGCAAATTTTTGTATTTTATTCTTTGGTTTGTTGGTTTGTTGCTGTTACGTTCAAGTGATGCCCTCCTCCCCAGAGCTGGATCAGCCCAGAACTGTTTCCCACTCCTGCACTTCTCTGTTTAACGCACTATACTGCACTTGGTGAATTACCAGATTTTATGCTTTCCAGTTGATTGTGAAGCAATAGCCGTTGTGTCTTGATTTCTCTAGAGACTTATTTCTGCCTAGGGCAGCACACACTGCTAACCTACAGCAGCTATCATTTCTATTTCTGCACTGAATGAACACTCGGAGTATTTAGGGCCCCGATGTCCCGATCCTCTGGGCTATGGATGCTGTGGCCGTGGAAGTGAGACAGAGTAACTGAAGATGGAGGAGCGTTTCATGAGAGCAAACTGATCAATTGTGTACCTGCAGCTTGTCTCTCCAGTTTGCAGCCTTTCACGAATAATGGAAGGTGTGCAAGATGAATGGCACGTTTGTCCCAGTCCTCCTCCTCCTCTCCCTCCCCCCGCCCCTTGTTCCACCCCTCCCCTACCTCACACCTGGATGCATCTGTCCCTGCCTCCAGGAGACAAAGCTGCTGTGGGCGCCATCCTGCTCGAACTGCGGGGGACTTGTTTGCACGGTGCTCTGCTTACTGATGCCCTAGCACCAGGAGAACACAAAGTAAATCACAGTCTCGTTAAGCTCCTGCTTAATGAACGTGTTGAAGTACCTTTCTGACTGGAGGAAGAAACACTGAACAATGTTGCTATGATGGTAAGGTAAGTGGATGAGGTGGTGGGTGTAGGTGCAGTTTGCGGGACTGGGCAGGCAGAGAACAAGCAGCCATTCCACTGTACAAAAGCTCAAATAGGATTTTATTGTCAGTTTGCAAAATAGATCTAAAAGATCTTCTTTATTTGAAACAGTCACAGGTGATGACTCACCATTGGATAAGCCAATTCCTGTCTACAAAAAGTAGTTAGGCTAGCTAACATTTCTGAAAACAGTGCAAAAGAGCGCGGAGATGTTTTTCTATCTGCTGCAATGAGTAGAGCTGGCTCTGCTGTGTCCTCTGGCAGCAGAATGTTTGCTGCAGATCGGAGATTGCAGGCAGCCCGTGGGGCTGAAGCCAGCTGCTTTGTGAGAGCAAAGCTTGTTCGTCTTTCAGGGGGAGGAATTGGAGGTAATGTGGTCTCAGTCCATGTCTAGAATCAGAGAATACAAAGTGGGCAATGGTTTCAAACCAAATGCACAGATACATGATCAGATAGCCACTTCTCAAGCATTCCTCTCTCAGATCTGCACCCACTGATTTCAGCTCTGATGCTGTCTTTGCATGCAGCTGCCTCCAGCAACATTTCAGACACACCTGTGTTACTCTTGTATGATGTCTTCACTCTGACCCATCAGCACCACATGGGGAAAACCACAGCACTTCCCAAACTTTCCTCCTGTCAATCGACAGGAAGACTTCATAATTAACATTATTCTAGCAAAGCTGCAATCAATCCAAAGGGGACTGTGCTTCGTAGCACAGTGTGCTCAGAAGCAGTTAACAGAAATTTTGCTGAGAGGAAATGCTTAGAAAATAATGGAAGTACCACTCCATGCACAGACAGGACTTCTGCCCAGCCACAGGCAATGAATACAGAGCAGAGCAAAGCAGCATGCAGCCATCGGAAATACGGCCTGCAGGAGGCAGAGGCTCACGTGTGCCAGAGAGCATCAAGCTGCTCCATCCTGGTGGGTGTGTGCTGAAGCACCATTGTGCAAGGCCAGCATCTGCCGTGCGCTCAAGCAAGGCACGCATCTACACTGCTGGGCACTGCTGGTCCTAATAGCCCAGGGCTCATCTGCCCGCACTCCTTACACAGCTGCTCAAAAAGTTTACTCCTTTTCTCCAGCAGAGGGTGGCAGACACTGGAATTTGTGTTCATGGGATTGGAGATAGCATCCGATTCACTCTTCAGATACGATTTTTTTTGCAATGACCTCTCAGTATCTAAAGTTGGCTCACAGCTGCAGACACACAGGGCAAATGAAATGAGTCTTATGTACACAGCAACTGGCTACTTCAGCATGCTGGCAAATGAAGACAGAGCAGCTCATTACCAAGCTGTTCTCTAACTCACTGCTGCAACACATCTCTGTGTTTCACGCGTGTTAAAACTTACAATATGGATCAAACTCGAGCAGCTGCTCTTGGAAAATCTGTACCATGTAATGAGATATTTGGTTACTTCAATTCAAAAAGACAGTGTTAAAAAAGAAAGTAATTCTCCATGCTACCTCTGTTTAAAACAACTTTCTAGTTCATCTTGTTTAAATAAACAAACTGCTAAAAATGAGAAGATTTAAAAACCTTTAAGTGGTCTCATGCTCTAGCTCCTTGGCACTACTTTGATCCTATTAAGCCAACATCCCTGACAATTTTGTTACATATCTGCTCCTGTTTGCAGCCTGGTCTAGTATGAGATATGGAGGTTGCTGGCCCTGCCTGTGGCAGGGGGGCTGGAGCTTGATGATCCTCGAGGTCCCTTTCAACCTTTCTGTGATTCTATGATCCTCTGCCTCCATCTCTCTCTGTTCACTTACCTGTGCTTAGCTCTGGCCTCACTGGGATAAGTGCTGTTGCCCTGCATTCACAGTGCTGTGGTATTTGACTTTCAGCTAGAACACCAGAACTAAATGAGCGTTAGCAGCCTTTTCACGCTGAATGCCTGCAGCCAACAAGCCAGTCCCTGTGAGTGTCCTCAAAACAGAAAAGGAGGTAAAGGTGGGTGTAGGGATGTGCTTATGTAGGTTTCATGGACTCCTTAGGTTTCGTGCCATGATGACACGGCATGTCGTGCCCCTCTCAGCACCTGTGTGTGCCTGTGTGTCCCCTTTCTCTCGCTGTCAAAACCTGAAACCTTCAAAGAGGCCTGAAGCATCAGCAGCTGGTAAATCTCATGGTTGTATCAGAGGCCTTGGGAACCTGCCTCCTCTTGCTCTTTCAGTCCCAGAGCACTTATTGCTGGGAGCACTGCTTCTGTCTCCTGAGGAGCAGCAGCAGCAGAGGAACATCAGGCTTCCAGACCCAGCGGGGCACTGATGTCCAAGCACAGGGTCTCTAGTTGCTGTGTCCTCACCACTTCTCTCCCCCGTCACTTTCCAAACACGGCACAGTGGTTTAACACAGCCTGTGGCTAAGCACCACCCCTTCCCAGTGGGATGAGGGAGAGAACTGGAAAAAAAAACACAACCACAAACTAGAACTCGTGGCTTGAGATGAAACTATTTACTAAGATAGAGGAAAGAGTTATAGTTGTGACTACATGTATACAAAGAATTATAGTTATGACTATATGCATACAAATGCATATAACAAGTGATGCACAAGCAGTTGCTCGCCACCCAGCTTGCAGACAGAGCAGGAAAACCTGAACCCGCACTGCAGCAGTCCAACTTCCTCCAAGCTCCTGGTGCCTGGATGCCCTGACGCAGCACTGGGCAGGACTGAGGCCAGCACAGCACTCCTGCTCATCTTCCAGCTCATTGGACAGCTACAAATTCAACTTACATATTTCCCCCCTCCACCAAACCACGTGCATTTTTTCCAACAGAACTAGGCTTTCACTTCTGATTGTTTTGCCATTAAGGCAGGAAACCAACAGCAAGGTTAATAAAAATCTGAAGGTTATGGATGGCGAGCACTTCATCAGAAAACGATCAGCTGTTGTCCTGGGATCTAGACCTTGCTCTAGAGACTCCCTTGGATATTGTTTTGTTCATTGACTGGTACTGCAGGAGGCCTGGGGCAGCTCCCAAGAGCACTGCCTACATGGCAACCAGGCTGCTCCTTGAGAATGAGTCCGATGAGGGGAAATTCAGCATCGAGAAGGACCTCGCCAAATCCCAGTGCACCCTGACAGTGGGCAGACTCACTGCACAAGATGCTGCTACCTACTACTGTACCAGATACCGGTACAGGCTGGGGGATGAGCTGCTGGAGATGAGCTCTGCGGAGGGACCTGGGTGTCCTGGTGGACGACAGGTCGGCCATGAGCCCGCAGTGTGCCCTTGTGGCCAAGGCCAAGTGGGGTGCATTGCACAGAGCGTGGCCAGCAGGTTGAGGGAGGTGATCCTCCTCCTCTGCTCTGCCCTGCTGAGGCCTCATCTGGAGCTCTGCGTCCAGTTCTGGGCTCCCCAGTACAAAACAGACAGGGATCTCTTGGAAAGAGTCCGGCGGAGGGCCACCGAGATGGTGAGGGGCCTGGAGCATCTCTGCTATGAGGAAAGGCTGAGTGAACTGGGTCTGTACAGCCTGGAGAAAAGAAGGCTGAGAGGGGACCTGATCCAGGTCTATCAGTATCTGAGGTGCGGGGGGCAGAATGGCGAGGCCGGACTCTTTTCAGTGGTGAATGGAGACAGGATAAGGGGAAACGGCCAGAAACTGCAGCACAGGAAGTTCTGCACCAATGTGCACAAGAACCCCTTTACAGTGAGGTGACAGAGCACTGGAACAGGCTGCCCAGGGAGGTGGGGGAGTCTCCTTCTCTGGAGATGTTCAAGACCTGCCTGGATGCCGACCTGTGCGACCTGCTGTAGGGAACCTGCTTTGGCAGGAGGTTGGACTCGATGATCTCTGGAGCTCCCTTCCAACCCCTACAATTCTGT